AGGCGTCCACCGCCCCGGAGCGCTTCCCGCCGCTCAGCGTCAGGACGCCCGTGCGCCGCTTCTGCCGCCGGCGCCACAGCGCGAGCAGGGCCACCAGCACGGCCACCACCAGCAGGGCCACGAGCAAGGGCACCAGCAGCGTGCCCCTCCGCCCCGGGCCCGGACTGCCAGGGGACCTCGCGCTCGTGTCTGCGGAGAGCTTTGGGGTGCTCCCCACCGACGCCTTCGTGCTGGGCGCCGAGGAGCTGCTGGCCGCACTTGAGGTCACCAGGGAGCTGGTTGTCGCGGCGACAGGAGGTCCACTGGCCCCCCTGGAGGGCTCTGGGGAGCTGGTTGTCATGGTAACGGAGGTTCCGTTGTCTCCACTGGCAGGTTCTGGAGCACTGTTTGTCATGGTAAGGGAGGTTTCATTGTTCCCACTGGAAGGGTCTGGTGAGCTAGTTGTCATGGTAACGGAGGTTTCATTGTTCCCACTGGAAGGGTCTGGTGAGCTAGTTGTCATGGTAACGGAGGTTTCATTGTTCCCACTGGAAGGTTCTGGAGAGCTAGTTGTCATGGTAACAGAGGTTCCACTGACCCCACTGGAGGTCTCCACATAGCTTCTTGCACTGGTGACAGAGGATTCACTGGTCCCACCAGAGGTCTCCTGAGAGTTAAATGCCAGGGCTCCCCCTGTGGCCGTGGGGTAGCCCTGAGAGCTCACTTCTGTGGGGACAGCAGGGTCACTGGTTCCAATAGCGATTTCCGGAAACGCTGATGGCTTTTTGGTAGACTCTTCCTTGGAGGACACTGGCTCTGATATGGCAGGGCCAGTGCTGGCACCACCAGAAGTCCCAAGAGGGGGAGCTGAGGGGGTTGGGGTCCAGGCCTGATCGCTTGTGTTGTACTTTAAAGAGGGTCTCGTGTTTGGTGCCAAGGAGGTCACTGCGTCCGAGACCAAGGCAGTGGTGGCGTTCTGGGGACTCGCCAGTGGGGCCCAGAGGCTCCCAAGGAGCAGGAGCAGCAGGGCCATTTCCAGGGCAGCAGGCGCAAGCGGGAGCTGGGGCCCAAGCTGGGGAAGTGGAAGAAACAGCACACCGGGGCTGGGGGAGGCCCTGGCCAGGCCTTGCCCTCCTGCCCACTTCCCTGCCAACTGCCAGGCCCAGCTGCGGTCTAACGGCTTTTTCCACCCTTGTTTTTCTCTTATCAGAAGCAACAGGGGAGCAGATGTGGCAGCACCCCATCAGCCCAGCCCATGCACCCCTGGGGCTCAGGCTCCCGCCGTGGCCCTGGCCCTGGCTGTACCCCTCGGCCTCCCTGGTCCTATTCAGCCCAGTGGCCCCCGATCCTCTCCTCCCATCACCTGTCAGGTCTGTTCAAGACACAGGCACATTCCCAGGCCCCGAGGCCCCTGTCCCCCCAGGTCACACCTTCTTACCAGCTTAAGCGATAAGGCACAGGGCTGGGACCCGCCACTGCAACTCCTCCTGAGGCCCGGGCACCACTGCGGGAACTGGGCCCCAAGGGGAAAGGAAGTGGGCTCTGGCTCCACCCACCCCACCCTGCATCCTGCTGCACCCTTCTCCTGTCTCAGGGTGGGGCCGTGAGACCCTGAGAGGATGCCTGGGGCCCCAGGGCTCTCAGCTTAGGCAGGAAAGAATGTGGGGGGCCCAGAATGGGAATTCCTGCACCTTAGCTGGGGTCAGATCCGTTGGGATAAGAATGTATGCCTGAGAGCTAGGCACAGAGGAGGAGATGGGCGGGGAGGGCAGTTTCCTTTGCATCTGTGGTCCCCAAGCTGGTTGGGACCCGGGGGTGCACGTCCTCCCACCAAGAGCTCCCAGGAAGCAGCAGGCCCCGGGGGAAATACCTGGCTCTGGCTGGGGTACTGAACACTTTTGCAGGCTGTTGAGCCCCTGAGTAAGCTACAAGGAGTCAGGGGTCACTGCAGCGCCTCTCGCCAGAGGAGATGCTGAGCTGTGGCAGTGGCTCCCAGGGATTTGGGACCACATTAGGCAACACAGTAAGGTCTCAACCCCCCACCCCCACCCCAAGCCCCAGTACTGAGGATTGATCCCAGGATGTTTGCACTAAACTACATCCCCAGCCCTTTTTATTTATTTATTTTAAATTTTAGGGTCCTGCTAAATGTAGGCGGGGCTTGAATTTGCAGTCCTCCTGTCTCAGCCTCCCAGAATGCTGGGATTACAGAGATGCACCACCATTACCAGCTGAGGCTTCATTAAAAGGAAGGAAGGAAGGAAGGAA